CTCTCTCTCTCTCTCTCTCTCTCTCTCTCTCTCTCTCTCTCTCTCTCTTTTCTTAAAGATTTGTTCATGGAGACGTGAAACCAGAAAACTTTCTACTTGCTCAACCTGGATCAGTTGATCAAAAGAAACTATATCTTATCGATATTGGCTTTATGTTTCAACAAATTTATATTGTTTCCTAATATTGGACTAAACTCACATCATTAATCCATAAAATCTTATTGCTTCAGCGTAATCATCTAATCAACATGTCGAATATATCTTACTTCACTTTTCCATGCATTATATGTATCTATATTTTATAACAAGGGTACAATAAGATACACGAGTGTACATGCACATTTAGGTCGTACAGGTAATAGAAGAGATGACCTAGAGTCACCCGCATACACAATTGGGGAACGTGAATTCATGTTTTATCGAGGCCCTAGTGATGATATGGTTTTATAGGAATCTGAACTTGATCTTTATATGAAATTTGATTGGTAATATAAAATTGGTTGATTATTTGCTATTTTTACAGTTGGAACTACAATATTTGCATGACTATGTGGGAATTTGCACTGGTATTGGGTTGACTACAAACTCGACTCCCAACTTTTCTGGTGTGATTGGAAACAATGTTACTGCTACTGGAACTGCTATGAGTACCACCGAATAGTTGATTCTTTTTAAATTATAAGTTATTGTTTTTTGTGTGGTTTATCTATGCATTTACGTATCCTATTTTCATTTCTTTGTATTAAAACATTGTACTTTCATTTTTTTTCTCATTAAGGCATCCGAGTTTGAAAAATCTATCAAATTATACCATAGCATATTCATTTTTTTTCATTGTTGTCTATTAGAGCATTTCACTATTAATGAAGAAGAAGAAAAGGGGCAGCAAAATATAGGTAATGAAAAGCTCCGGCAGAAAAGGTTGTCACTAAAAAACGGTTGCCACTAAAAAAGAGAAAGTCGCCAAGTCAAAAAATGCATCTAAAGGAAGACAATGCTCACAACATCGTCTCCACACAACCAGAGCACCCGAATTACAAAATACTAAAAACCATCTTTGAAGACGCGAAAGTCAAAGACCTCTCCATGGAAGATAACATCTCCTTCATGCTTGCATCAATCCACAAAATATTATGTTACATTTACGTTCTACCTACGTCTTTGTCCACTAAAACCATGTTTAGCTTTTAATGAATGTAATGACATCCACATCAATGCATAAATAAATAAAATATTTGTATTAATATCTCTTTGCAAACACTCGATGACTTCTAACCTCCGCAAAGCGGGGGAATCTTCACTACTTATTATTATATAT